ACTTCACCAATTTGCATAATCTCTGTTCATTGTCCTGAAACGAGGTCTAATCAGCAGCAGCTTCTATAATAAAGCCGATAATCTCAAAAACAAGCTTCGCTCAAAATAAATGTTTCCCTTATGAGACTTAGGCTTAATCTTACGCTTGAACTTGAATCGTTCTTGAAGTTGTTTTCGAGCTTGGAAGTGAAGGCTCTGATCTGTTTTCTATATTTAGTCTCTCATTCTGTCTAACTTGATGTCCCTTTCCTCTTAGATACAAGCTTCTTCAGCAGGCGCTAAGCCTGTCTCAGCCGGTGATTGCTTTATCTGCGATGACCTTCCGTACACTCGTTTGCTAATGAAGTACTCTTGAATGAGGTTCACCGGCGGATTCACTTCCCGAAGCAGCTACTCCCACAAGTACATAGTACACTGAGTAATGAAAATGTAAGAATGAATAATATTTGTGCCTTAAAACAGCGGATTAATATATTGCATGGTGCTTTATACAACAGTATACTCTTTCGAGTAGATGTTTGGCGGCACTGTAGCTCTCAATTACCGCTGTTTCCAATGGACCAATTCGTCATTTGCGGCAGTTTCTCGAACCGCTGAACGGGCAGTTCTAAAAGAGGGAAAATGTCTACCTAAAGACGAAAATTGATGAGAAAGTAAGTTTTGTTGAAATGTTAGCTGTACCTTCAGGTGCAAGGTTTCACTGAATTTAGTGATGGTGACGTCGTGCAGTTTCCCGTCTGCAAAATGCTGTCGATTGTCATCGATTTTGTAAAAGCTTTTGCCATTTTGATAGAGGATCAGTCGAAGATGACCTGCAAGATAAGACTAATGACCACATCATTTACATTGTCTCCTCCATGTATGTCACCTTTATCCTCGATGCGCAACTCAAGCTCTGCGTCGTGAGTCGAAGCCCATCCTCGCAACACCAGCTGCTTCGAACACACTGTAGCAAAAGCGATCCGAATGAACTCAGAACCGAGGTAAGCAGTCATCGGACCCATGGTTTGATTGTACAGCATCACGGACACGTCTAAAAAAGATTCCTCCATTTGCATATGTCGATTCCAAAAGACCCCCCCCCCCAACCGTCAGCACAGGAAGGTCCTGCGAATGCGGTCTTGTCACAGTCACATTCGAAGGTTGCGAAACGATCAACACAGCGGCCACCGTTCGAACAACGCGCTTCGGAACAGGATCGAACAACACCGCGTTCGATAGAGCCACTTGTTTCATGCCGATCGAATGAGATATGAACTCCATTGATGAACAGAGACCGCATGACCCCCGTGAAGCCTGTGCCAATCTCGTAGCCTGCTCCTAAAACAGTGATTTAGCGATTTCGCAAAATAAGGCTGTAGCACAACTCAGCGTTGAAAGAAGCAGCTCCTACTCTTAATGACTTACAACTGTTTAAATTTGTGCGCTGTTCTGAAATGGCGCGATCATCTTCAACGACAGGAATTATTGAAGTACGGTATCCCAGTCTGGAAAGACGAAAATCTTCGCAGGTTTTGTTGTAATGATTTAGGCCAATGAACTGTTCTGCCGTATGGCTGGGGTGGGGTGGGGTGGAGAGGGGGGGGGTGACTAGCAACTTAACATTTGAATTCTAAATTTCTAAGCCATCATGGTCGCA